CATGCATGTGAAATCTTAGTTGTATTTTAATTCGTGCTGTGGTAATAATCAGGGTTTCAAAAGTTAATATTCAACGTAATCTATTTCCGCTAGGAAGACTGCTGAAAAACGATTGTTTTTTGAAGCCTACAAGTATATCCGTGTATTTTTAAACATATCGATATATTTGTTTATATCTGTCTATTGAAAGAAAGAAAGCGCGTGGCATAAATACTTGAGTGAGTTATTTGAGTTATATTTCCGCCTGAAAGTTTTGTGAAAACGTTTTGTAAATGTGATGACGACATTATGAAATATTAGACTTCTTTAAAGCAACGGAATTTCGACGAGATTTCAACGGAATTTCGACGAGATTTCAACGGAATTTAGACGAGATTTTAACGAGATTTCGACGGTTCTTTTTATTTTGTTTAGTTTTCTTTAACAGAAATGTTATTTAAAAAAAAAACAAGACAACAATAGAAAAATGAGTTGGTATCATTTTATTAATTCTTTTTTTTTCATTAGTTGAAATTTCTGAGAGATATTATGGGGAAGGACGCTTTAGAAAACTTATTACTTACATGGTGTAAGGAGGGGGAGATGGAAAAAAGGAACAGCTTCCCTAAAAATTAATGTGAATTGATAGCCTAGCAGGGACAAGTACGTCAAATTGAATTAAAGCTGCAAGTTCAAGAAGTTGTGGAGAATCATGAACGCACATGTCGACACATTAAACCATCATGAGGATAATTTGTCTATTTAATATTAATAGCGAAGGGTGTGGGAAGCAAATTACATTGGTTTAAGAAAGACAGTCTCCCATGCCTGTCACAAATGCAAAACTAACACGCGTCTCGATAGTATTCAGTAAGGTCAAAAATCCTCACAGTTACCCACTACGTTTCTCTCAATCGAGCTTTTTCGGCTTATGACAAAATAATCGGTATTGTATTATAGGAGTTGATTCGCTGTGTGTGCGCGTGTGAATGTGTTTGTGTGTGCGCGGGCGCGTGTGAGTCCGCGTACGTGCTTATACGTATATTTTATATATTTGTTATTTTCCTTGTAACATACAGGCACAGATTAAAGGCATTATTTGCTTAATAGTCTATAGTTATAAAGAAGCCGCACTTCTTATAATTAGACTAAAACAGTGATTTTATATTTAATATAACTTTATATATATATATATATATATATATATATATATATATATATATATATATATATATGTGAATATGATAACAATATAATTTTAAGGTATGCTATATTTGTGGGTTAAAGTGCTCAATGTGTCAGGGATATAGCGTATGCAGCATCCGTGTAGCCACCTGGTGTAAATCGCGTCTCCAGCGTGAGCGATCGTTGGCGATGCCTTCCCACCTGTCTAGGGTAGAGGATCCAAGTCTCGCTGCTGTAAAACACGTCATATAGATTGCAATTTGGGCGTCAGTAGTAAGCTTTCTCTTTCCCAGGATCTCGAGGTTAGCCTGGCCAACGTGGTATCAGAGAACGTATGTAAATATATATTGCCGTAATATTACTATTGCATTTAAGCATGTCCACTATATATATATATATATATATATATATATATATATATATATATATATATAGTCATCGACGAAATTATTCTTACACCCATCAATTTTTAATATCTTTATTCATTTCTCAGAACCTAATGCCCGTATGATGCCATGTTTTTTATATGTTAATGAGGACAAACAAAAAAGGAATATAAAACTCAATGTTCAGAACAATAGGTTAAATACAACAAACTTGACAGGTGAATTATGCAAAATAGGAAAAGACAAAATTATTCGTACAGTAGAAAATATCGTTTTAAATTGATTGATTCGTGTAAGTGTAAGTAATTCACATAATTATTTTCTCCGTGAAGCCTTCTAGACTATTTATTCAGTAGAATATTTGCAATAATTCCAGCAAAGAACATCACGTGGTGCATAGAGAGTCACCATTGTTATTCTTACATTAACAACACGATGGGGAAGACAAAGGAGCTTAGCTTTTGACTTCAGACAGAGAATTATTGACTTCCACAAGTCAAGAAATAGTTACAGCACTATTTCAAACCAGTTATCTATCCCTAGATTTAAGGTATAGTCCGATATAAAGAAGTTTTAAAAGTTTGATACGACAGAGAATTTTCCTGAACGTGTAAGAAAACCCAAATTGTCACCAAGAACTGAACGAAAACTGTGTCGTGAGGTTAATATAAACGTAAGAGTTATTTTTTAAAAACATCGCCAAAAGTTTGGAAGCGATGAGTATCAGCGTAAGTAGTTGCATAATAAAACGCTGTTTAAATAGAAATAGGTTGTATGGAAATTGACCATGACGAAACCTCTCTTCACAAAACATGTCACATTGTTGTTCGGTTTAATTTTGTGAAAATGTTCTTGAACAAAGAAAATTGCTTTTGGGAACAAGTACTATGGAGGAATGAAACAAAAATTGAACTATTTGGACATAATGATGTACAGATGATTTGGTGCAAGAAAAATGAAGCTTTCCCCCCAAAGAACACAGTGGCAACATTAAAACATGGACGCAGTTCGATGATGTTTTGGGGGTTGTTTTAGCTCAAGCGGGGACTGCAATAAGGGGAATAATGAAATCTGCAAACTATATCAAAATTCTGGATTAAAATCTACAACTGTCAGCGCAAAATCTTCATCTAGGCCGGCGATTTACTTTCCAGCAAGATAATGACCCCAAACATACGTCGAAATCAGTGACTGCGTGGTTTCAGAAAAAGATTACAGTTCTATCATGGCCTTCAATAAGTTCTGACTTGAATCCTATTGAAAATCTATGGCAAGAATTGATGAAAATAATTCGTCGGTCACCAAAACCTTCAGGTTGTGGTGAACGTGTAACCATAGAATAGAAGAAAATCCCAGAAAAGACTTGTTCAAATCTCATCAAAAACTTTAGAAAACGATTGTAGCAGGTTATAAAGATGAGAGGCCATGATGTTGACTATTAATATTGTGAAAATTATTCAATTTTTTTCTATTTTTTCTACTGTACGAATAATTTTGTCTTTTCCTATTTTGCATAATTCACCTGTCAAATTTATTGTATTTAACCTATTGTCCTGAAAATTGAGTTTTATATTCCTTTTTTTTTTTTTTTTGTACTTCATTTGCGAAGGATTTCCAACAAAGGTGATTGTCCAGGAGATGGGAGAGGTGAGAATTTGTTGGCGCAAGTTCAAGGGAGTAAAATGGATGACACAGTGTCTCCCAGCCAAATCGCCGTATGTCATCGCACATGAGTTCTGGCATTGTCATGGAATAACAGTACACCTTTGCGATTAATCAATCTTTCTGCTTCAGTGCCTGAAACACTCGTTGCAACTGCTGCAAGTACAGGTCCGCACCAATGGTTTGGCACGTTGGTAGCAGTTCATAATGTACCATTGACTACTAATCTATCAGATTCAGGGCATGGTCTTGCCTGTGGGTAGAGGTGGTCTAGTGTTTTGATGCACAGGGTTCTGTTGTGACAACCAATGTTTGGCACGTTTGGGAGCCACTTTTCGTCACTGGTGAGCACTCGATTAAATATTGATATGTTGCGTTATCGAGATAGCAACGAGAAACAGGCTGTCACTCGTTGTTGCTTGTTGGCTTTCGACAGTGTGTAGGGTACTCACTTGCTAAACTTATATGCTTTACCTATGTGGTGGAACTGAAGTTTGAATGAAACATGGAAGTTTCGGCAAGCTCACAAAAGGTTTGGCTGTTGTCCTCCTCTATGACCGTTAAGTGTTCACTTGCAACAGGGCCTGCGATCGGCCATTGCGGGATTCTCACAAAGGGATAGATCTTTCGACCTGAACTTCTCGAAATAATGCCTCTGAGGTGTGTTCACTCACAGCATTATCCCCAAAGGCTTGATGCGGCAGCGGACAGTTCCACCTTAAAGCTATAAAGCAGAAAATCCCAACCGAGCTGCTTCGACACCGTCATGTTACCTCGCCGCTGCTTGAACTATGACGGAGGTGTGTGCGCTATGCCCTTGCATTTGTCAAGGGCAATGTCCCCACCTCCATCGCTTTCCCAGCACATGACGCATTCGTTTGCTTATTAGTTATCCCATAATTAAAAAAAACAGTAAAGACTGTTTTAGTTGCCTTCTATTTTTTGCGATCACATCAAATGTCTATAAATGATACCATCTCTCCCGCCAGTTCTTTACTCAGTATTTCTATGAGCATGGGCTCAGCAAATCATTTAGCTTAATCATTTACAACTGCATCAGCTCTTGAAAAGAGTCTGACATTTGTTTGCGTAACATCACTAATGTATCCCCCTTTCAACATACGTAACAATTCCCTTAAATGACCATGAAGCCTCACAGTCGGACACTTTCCAAACGGTTCTAATTGAATAAAATCAGTACTTGTGCTCTTTCGTAACCCAACACCCAAACACACTGGACTTTTTTTCTTTCACTACTCTCTGAAATTTATCGCATCATGTGTCATTGTGTAAATCTCAACTCCAATCGGTACACAGGATTATCAAAAGATAAACGAAAACTGAAAATTTTATCAGATTATTTATTAAATCATAGCATTCACAGATCCAAAATCATCAAAAGAAAAAAACCCACATTAAATTAAATATCTTTCTCTACAAATGGCATATTGAAGAGTGTATAAAATATTTTAATATACCTACGAAATATTTAATATGTATGTCAAAACAAGTATAAACATTCGATACAGGTTTTTATTTATTTATTTATTTTTTTTTGGTTTAACCGTTCCACATAGCAGCACTTTGAATTGATTCCAATTCGAGCAATTTAAAAATGCCAGGATGTAGTCAACCAAATTTTGTCAATCATATTCTGACAAAAACCAAATTCTGGATAATGACTAAGATGTACATGAAAACTAGAAAGTACTTGAACAAAACGAAAAAAAAAAAATCAACTTTGGATAATTTAACCATAATTTTGATTCCGTTGTGCATCTTTAAGGCTTACGGCCATATCACGATGAAACACCGGTTCCCATATGATCATCGAAGTTAAGCAACTTGTCAGTACCAGATGGGTGACCGTTTGGGAATACTAATTACTGTAAGCTCGGATATGTGGATGGTGCAATGAATAATGGCTCGGAATTGTTAATCGGAAAGCCAAGTTCCAATTCCCGTTGGGTTCGTTATATTCCCTTACGCGTAAATACCATTGGAAAAATTATGAATCCATCTCTTCTCCTCCCAGCTATGGGTTAATTAGTAAAACTTGTATCACAAAAATCATTATTATCTCAAAAAAATTCTTATGATCTAAAAATAAGCTGCAAAGGGTTGATAAGTCGTAAATCACTCAACATCTTATTCAAAAATTGAAAAATACAATAAAAAAATTGAAAAATACAGACACATATATATGTGTGTGTGTGTGTGTGTGTGTGTGTGTGTGTGTGTGTGTGTGTGTGTGTGTGCAGGTATGTAGAAAAATAGGGAAGAACAACATTAGGTAAATAATCCAGGGTTCTTTAGTATTTTTGTTTTTATTTAAAAAAAAAAACAGTGCTCCATACAGAAGTAGAGCTTAGATTATTTTTTTTTTCATAAAATCCGTAGTATACCAATGAGAGTCCTAACACCGATAGGATATACATTGGGCCAACGAAGAATGAATTTAAATAAATAAATCTATCTTTCTCTGTGAATGGCCAGACGATGCGCGTACAAGAAAGAGATAAGTCGCTTTGAAATACCCTACCTCAACTTGACCTCTCCCTGAAGGTGGCTGGATATGTGGATAAAAATTAACTCTTAATTAACTCTTCGGCCCCTTATAAAAAATGGTCGCCCCACCTGTTTCCATAGTAACGAATGAACATGCTTATAACGATACGTAAATTTCAAAATTGGTTATTCCTAAATTTTCGCTTAAGGATGAAACAGGGCTTGTTACTTTAATTCAATTTAATTTTAATAATTATTTTGATAGTTTCGGCTCTCGTTTTTGAAACATGAGAACTCTTATGTAACGAAGGAATCATATTTAAAAAATAATTATAATTATATATATATATATATATATATATATATATATATATATATATATATATATATATATATATATATATATATATATATATATATATATGGAGAGAGAGAGATTTTGTTTGAAAAAAGTCGACCATTTCTGACAGGCAGTAACTTTATTAATAGTTCTCATTATGAGACATTAATAGGAACAAATAAAATAAAATGCTCACACTTATCTATCCCTACTTCGAGATTCACGTATAGTACATTCACTCATACATTTTATATATATGTATATAAATTTTACTATCAAGCGCCCTGATGAGTGGCTGTAACCTCCGCTAATAGCAACAGATAAGTGAACATATCATTTTATTTCTTATCACGTATATATGTGTGCGTGTATTTCTATCTGTCTGAATTTTAATTATTACTATTAATTCATATATTCTATATTTTTTGCTTGATTTAATTTTTTTATTTCTAAAACGAAAAATTAATTTTAAAAAAAGATTTTAAATGAAATTTTTTTCTTTTTATTTTATTCAATTTTTATCTTTTTTCTTTGACTCGCGAAAGATGTTTTATTCGTGTAATTATTAAATTCAAAAGCCTTCTCAGCCATCTTACTGCCAACATGGATGGATACATTGTCACAGATTTTGTTCTTTTACTTTCATTCTATAATCAGATCAGATCTTAACTGACATTCAGTAATTTACTTTTAATCATAATCACAAAAGACGCCACGGCTTTTTCAAAATGTCTCTCTTTGTCGAAGATAGTTTTACGCCCAAACTTGTTAAAAGTTTTCTTGGTTAATCCGACTAAAAGTAAAAGCAATATTACTTTGATTTGTTCTTACAGAGATTAGCTTAGCCTGGCACAAGGCTAAGTGAGAATCGAAATCACTGCAGTTGTAGTAGAGTCTTTGAAGTTGGTTTGCATAATTAGCCAATCCTTAAGTATCTACTAATTTTAGTTTAGTCCGAAAAATTATTCAGTGAAAAATATCTACAAAGAAACCTTACATACCATTTTTGACACATTAGGATATTTACAATACCTTCTAGATAAACTGAAAAAAATTTTTTGTATATTAGTGGTTCATGTTTACTTTGAAAATAAAAAGCAAATGTTAGAAAGTTTGCTTATTTCCTTTACTTTGATTTAATTGCAGCAATCTAAAAACATCAGAATTTAGTCAAATCTTGCTTAGCATTCTGATAATACCAATTCTTGAGCTTGACGATGACTGTGATAGTCAAAAGAACTTGAATATAACAAGAAAAAACTTAAAATTTGGACAATTTATTCATGCCTTCAATCCCGATATACAGCACCAAATTCGAAATTGGAAAGATAATAAAAAGTTGACTCTACAGAGCTTGTCGGTGAAATTTAATATAATCTGTTTGTATGAATGTTTGATGCCTAAATACATCTTATATATATATATATATATATATATATATATATATATATATATATATATATTGTAGGAAATTGTGCGCCAACCAGATATGAGACAATTAGAGTTACTGCTAGGTACATTTTCTGACATTCATGGCTCTTTTGCACTAGTGTGATGTCAGGGCGATTGCTCTCCAAGCGATTGTCAATCAAGATGTTTGTATCCCACGTGAGCTTCACTCGCTCATTTTCAGTTCTTTATAGTGGTGAATGCTCGGCTTCTCTGCACACTCACGGCCATACTTCCTGCATAAGTTGCCAATGTATTCGGTCATCGGGTCGTCTGTCCTCTTTTTTAGCCAGCTGAGTGCAACTACTAACAATGTGTAACAAAATATTATTATTATTATTAAAACGTTATATTTAGTGGATATATATCTTTGAGTAGGCATCACTGTTTTTAAACAGTGAATTAAGGTCAAATCGGCGTAGTGATTGAATGTTTTCATAGACTGGTGGACATTAATTTTTAAAAATGGAGTGTCTACTCAGCGTGTATACCCTCTAAATATAACGTTTATTGTAATAAGAAATAATGTCAGATTTAACGACCCATTCATTGTCTAAATATACTGTCTGAGAGCTTAACCATTTTTCCAAACTTCACCACTACACATGCATGCACATACACACACACATATATATATATATATATATATATATATATATATATATATATATATATATATAATGGACTCCACATCGTATAAGTGTGCAGCTGCTTATACGTTAGTCCAATAGACGTTTATGTAATTAGACGAGGTTCAGTTATGTGCCATGCGTCATACTTACGCGATCATGTATCTTTCGATACATGACTGACGCGGAAGATTTTTTTCCCGGAGTAGTTTGCAATTTCTTTCTGCGGTTGACTAATTACCACCCAAGGCTACAGAACCCTGTCTGCCCTGCTTTTTATCCATACCTGAGGAGAGAACCTTTCCCAAGTGTAAGTGAATGTAATGGATTCGACTGGAATTCGAACTCGGCTTTCTGATTCCTCAGTCCGAGCCGCTATCCATTACTCCACCGTGCCTCCCGGAGACGAGGTTACTGGGCTTAATTCGGTTTGTTTAGTCCTTGCTCTTACCTCGATTAGATGTTCAAATGTTCAAATATTTTGACAGCGTGCTCTCCCTCTATTGATCTCAACAAAAGGCCTTATGTGATGTCATGGCAGCTTCAAGATTTCTCTTCAGTTTGTCTTTGTATCTGAGCCATTGTCTACGTACGCTTATTTTGCCGCTGCGTAGCTGACTGTACATGAAGACTTTTGGTATTCCATTACCAGGATTTCATCATCAAAGTAAGCGTTACAGTTCACTTTGCTTCCTATGTATATTTGAGGTGTTTTCCCTCTATTTCGATGGGGATGAAAGGAAACTGATGAGCTGATAGTTTTTGTTTGATATTTTCTTACCTAGATTGTTGGGGGGGTGTTAGTTGATGAAAAACGCCTTTCTTTGTTATGCTCTATTCTGCTTGCGATGGGCACCCGATTTACAATTTGCTGAAACTATAAAAGATGTTGCAACAAGTGCCGCATCATCTGCAAAGAGCAGATTACGAATGACACTAGCTCTCAAAAGTGTCTTAGCTTGGACCAGCTGAAAAGTCTAATATTCGTCCGAAATAACATTCTTACATCGTAGCTCAAATCGCCAATGGTATACGCCAGTATTTTCTGTCTATAGAAAAGAATAGTGAAAAGGAACTGCAGCCATGACCCAACCTTGTTTTGTGCCATTAGTAACATTGAAAACTTCGAAAATTCTCCATCAGACAAAGCGCAGCTTTCATTTCCTGGTGAAGGAAATAACGATGTTAAGTATTTTGTCTTATATATCAAGCTTCTGTAGTACTTTCCAGAGAAAGCACGATTTACAGTATCGAAGGCCTAAATAAGGTCAACGAACACTATATAAACTATTTGATTTATCGATAATCTGAGGAAGAGAAAAGATTATTTCTATACTACAACGACCAGATCAAAAGCCGAATTGCGATTATGAAGAGATGCCATCATCAATATATTTAACTATGTAATGTGAGACAGTGCATTTTTAAAAAATCAATTCACCCCAAGCAAGGCAATAAAACCGCTAGGATGTTAGCGAATATGAAGAAAAATTACTATTTAGGTGAGAGGACAATAAAAAAAAAAATTAAGAAGACAGAAGATAACGATTGATACAAACTTGATTGGGAAGCAAGAAGCCGGAAGAGATTTCCACAATGAAGAAGTGCCACTGAAAACTGTTAGAATAGAACTTACGGTTATATTTAGCCAATTCAACTGTGAAATGATGAGACCTTGCTGCCAATCTAGTACTGCGTTTATATTCATGTAGTCTAGATATCATAGAGGAAAGTTCATCAGAACAATTATCATGAATATTTATAGAAAAGGCACAGGGAAGCTACATTACGGTCGTGGGAAAGGGACTAAAGCCGAGATGCCAGGTCAGGACCAGTAACATTGAATATTCTATGGATTTTTACCTAGAATCTCTAAATATATATGCAGAAACATCAGACAGATGTGGCAGAAATATTCAAAGCAATGACGAATGGTAGACTTATAAATATCTAAGATAGATTCTGG